CTGCTCGGGGCGCGCAGGGGTCTCCTTCCCCGCGCCCTCGCACCTCCGCGCCAGCAGGGCCCTGCGGCACCGCCCCCGCGTCTCGCCCGGCGCTGCCCGTGGGGCGGTGGGCGCGTGCTGGTGTCCCGGTGCCGTCTCCGTCGCGCTTCGGCCAGACCCCCAGCAAGGCTGGTTGGGAGGTGGAGCCCACCAGCAGTGCGTCCTGGCTCGGAGCCGGATCGTGGCGGGCTGCGGGCTGCTGCGGGGCAGTCGCGTGGCTCGCGTCCGTGGAGCCCGCGTGGGGAGAAGCGGGCGCAGCCCAGCGGCAGCAGCTCTGCTCCAGCTTCCCTGCGGCGGGTGAGCCCCGCGGCACGGCACGGCACAGCTGAGGCGCGGGGCTTGGCCGTGTCGTGCTGGGCTGTGGTCTCGCCCTCGCCCTCGTGGCGGGGAGGAGGAGTTCAGGGGCGTGGTGGCTCGCAGGCCCTGAGTCACCATCTCCCTGCCCCACTTCTCCAGGTGTCGCCCAACACTGATGTCCTGGTGCCTGTTTGTACAGCTGTACAGGCTCTTGTCTTGAGTAACGAGCTCTGCAAATCTTAACGTAGCCTGCATCGTTTGCGGAAGCGTCCCTCTCTGACAAAAGTTAGTGTGGTCAAAGGCTTGCGCGCGCGTTAGAAAGCACCGTGTTTGGAAGTAGAGCAGTGGAAAAAACACTGGTCAGACCCGACGCGCTCCTTTTCAGCATCTGCTCTCTGCCCCGTGTGACGGGAGACTTGGCAAGAGGGACTAGGGTGTGACCCAGGCAGTGGCAGTTCTTATGTTCTCTGGGTTCGGAATAGAAAGATTTGAGCAATTGCAGATAACGTCGTGGCAAGTGCTAGTCTCGGAGGAGGAGTTGCTGTGGACCTGCCAAGTACAGTTGGCAGGTCCACAGCACTCGATGATCTATTGAGGTCCCTTCCGACCCTAACATCTATGAATCATGTGGAGGGAGAGCTCCACTGCCGGCCTGTTTTACTGCGTGCGAACCACTTCTGCAAAAATCGCGTGCTGCTATGAGGCGGGAAGCACTTGGGGCTCAGTGAGACATGAAGCATTTTCCTTCCTGATCCCCTTTTAAAATGCTGACAGATGGAAGGGCAGACACAGATGCGAGGCACGGTTCTCGCTTGTGTGTACGTCTTACCGCAAATGAAGATGTTGCTTCAAGGAGGGGCCGGATCCGGAGCAGGGCGAGCTGGCTTCGGACAGAGCTCCGCGCAGCAGGGACTTTTGGCAGAAAAGTGCTAGATAAAGAATTATTAAGATCATGCTTGCACATGCTGAAAATAAGGGAAGAACCCAACCCAGCTTTTAAACTGTCAGGGATTGGTTGAGCACTTAAAAAAAGTCTTTTTGTAACTATGGGATGATTTCCTTTCTAATATGTGACACAAGCATAGCATAACAGAGCAGAGAGCCCTTTTACATTTAAAAAGGAGAAGCAAATGTAGGTGATGTGGAAATATCTCTCTAAGGGAAATCTTAAGTGTCAAGTCTTGCTAAAAAAATAAAAAGGATTCTGCTGATTTTTGTAACATTTAACTGTACCAGCCCATTAGAAAATGTGAGTAGAATGTTTCAAGCTGAAAAATAGTGGGAAGAAGTTGTTATAGGTGCTTAGGGTCATTTTTATTTTGTTCGCTTCTGTCACTACTAATGAGAATTGTAGATTCTTGCTGTTTCGAAGGGAATGTCTGTTTCCTGAACTCTGAACTGCAGGACAGATGGTGAGAGAATGAGGGAGAGAAAAAGTATAGAGAAAATGTGTTGCCAATTAGTACCTAAAAGTGAAATAATTTCTTGTCTCTGACTAGTTTGTAGGCATTTCTTTTCCAAAATGACTAGTCAGAATTGTGTTCGTCTAAGCTTAGCTAGTGCGATCTGGTAAGTCTAGTGTATGTAAAATGGTGACATGTTGCCTGTGTTTTACAGGTTGATTTTATTTTTAATTTTTTTACATTAGTCTCAACCTGGCATTAAATCTGGCCTACTTGATTGAGTACAGCTCGGAGACGCGTCTTTGACTGAAGGAATGCAGGCCCTGCACTGTTGCAGGATACCTCTGTTTAGCTTCTGAACAGATTTCAGTGAATGTTGTGGCAACTGTAAGCTTCTAGGAAGGGCACTCTAGGATCACAGGAAAGTAGTGCTGGAACGGACCTCACAAAGTCATCTAGTCCGGCCATCTGCCCCAGACTATAAGCCGAGTATACATCTAACTTGCTCTTGAAAATGTCCGAGGATGGAGAATCCATGTTTCTCTAGGTACCCATTCTAATATTTGACCATTCTCATAGCCAAAAGTTCCTCCTCATCTCCAGCCTTAGTTTCCCTTGCTGAATCTTGAGGCGATTGCTCCCAGTCTTCTTCCCTCTGGTCACAGAGAAAAGCTCATCTTCATCCTCCCTGTAATTGTGTTTCAGGTATTTGAAGACTGTTATCAAATCCTCCCTCAGTCTTCTCTTCTCTGGACTAAGTAATCCTGGTTCTTCTAGCCTTTCCTCAAGTTTTGCCTCCGTGGTCCCTAATCATCTTTGTTGCTTTTTCCAATCTGTTCGCATCTTTCTAGAAGTGTGGGGCCCAAAAGTGGATACCGTGCTGGAGCGGGCAGTTCGCCTGTCTTGCTCCCACCCAGCAGCAGTGGTACCTGCTCGGCTGCCTGCCTGGTGCACATGCTGCTCCGCGTCCCCCCTGGACTCCACTCTGGCACTTTAGACCAACTGGCCAGGCCCAGACTACAGAAGCCAGGAATGTTCAGGTTTGCCCAGGATGGATGGTCGCTCTGGGTATGATCCAGTGTAACCCCCAGGGTCTTCTCTGTAGTAGTGTAGCTGAGCCACTCGTTCCTGAGTCTCTGTTTGTGCATGCAATTATTTTGTCCCAAGTGCAGGCCTTTACTTCTCCCTGTTGAATCTCATCTGGTTCACTGTGGACCATTTTTCCAGTCTATTCAGGTCCTTCTGGATCCTAGCCCTGCCTCCATAGTGTCTGCAACTTTACACCCAACTTGGTGTCAACATCGTATTTGCTAAGCGTGCACTCAGTCCCATTGTCCAAATCATTAATGAAGTTATTGAATAGTACTGGACTGAGGACAGATCCCTGGGAACCCACACAAGATGCCTCCTCTCAGCTAGACATCGAACCATTGATGGTTGCTCGTTGCGTGGGATGATCTAACTGTTTATGTATCCACCTTACAGTTCTTTCATCTAGCCTGTATTTCCTTAGCTTGTTGATGAGAATGTTATGAGAGACGGTGTCAAAAGTCTTGCTAAAGTTGAGGTGGACCACATCCACTGATATCTCTCCATCAGAGTCTGTCACCTTGTTGTAGAAAGAATCATGTTGGTCAAGCATGACTTACTCTTGGTGGATCCACGTGGCTGTTCCTGATCACAAATTCATGCTGCTGCTTTTTGCCCTGGTACACACCCCTGCTTGTGGGGTTAACATAGGGAAAAATGCTGTGGGTGGGGTAGGAGAGGCTGGGGCCAGCATCTGGGCTGGTCCCAGCAGCCTTACCTGGGGACCTGCCGGAGCTCCAGCAGTAGTGATCCGGGTGTGTGGAGCCTGGCCAGCAGCCGGGGTGTGGCTGGGGTTGACCATGCTCTGGTTTCTGGCAGTGCGCGCTGCTGTCACGTGTGCCACCTCACTTTTATTTTTTTTTGGCGTGGATGTTTTTGATACTGGGATGTCCTGGTATCGCACCCCATCCCCCGCTGTGGTGCTAATTAGCGATGTGGTGAATGCTTATGTGTGTCGTGTGTGGTTTGCAGCGCTGCAGACGGGTTTGCTGCGCCACAGACTGCATGTGCGTGCTCATCTGGACACGCCCAGTATGTTCTGTTCTTTATAAAAAAAAATGGAAGTTCTCTTTCTGTCATTTGTCAGGATCTGATGTGTTTTTACTAGCTTTTAGGGCAGATTGACTCATTTTCCTTGTACACAGAAGAATATGAATGAAATATCTTTTTGACTGTTTGCTTTAATCTTCTGTGATGTGGTAAAGTGAAGCAGTATTCTTTATTCCATTACAGATCAAAGAGACTAATTAGTCTTAATTTTATGGGCTTGAGATAAGACATAATGCAGCATAAGGATACTCAATCTTTGTGTTCGAGTCTGTTGGGAATTCTCAATGAGTTCTCGGTCTCTTTGCTGAAAAGATGAAAATTCTTTTTATAGCTTTTGGTTGAAACCTACTATTTTATAACTCATGTTTTTGTGACTTTTGCCATTATATTTAGAGAATTTAGTGGTTCTTTTATACATTGTCCTTTGAAAAATATATGAATTGAAGTCCAGATTATTTTCCCCCTGCCCTCTAAATATAGTTTGAAATAATTTCTGTCCTAATTGGAGCATGAAACAATCATCCACCCTTTTGTCATTGCACGGCTAGATTAAATCTTTCCCTTTTCATTAGGTTTGTCTGAAAGGACCTTCTCTTGCCTTTTCCTCCATTGCTTTTGGGGCAAATGTTTTTCTTCTCATTGTGGAATCGAAGCTTAGTTGATAGGATCCACTGACCCGTGGGACAGTAATTTGTCAAGCTGAAATCCAGGTTATTTAAGAAAGCAAGCCACTTACTTAAAATAGCTTATATCGGGGCACTGAATATCCAGCACACGGGTCAGATCTGGCCTGTGGGGCTTCTCATGGGTCCACCACTCACCCACTGAAATTTGGCAGTAGGTGAGTGGTGGCACCGCTCTCCTGCTGCCAAATCTCTGAACCCATTGGGAGTCCCAGTCCTTGCATGTTGGATCTGGCACCTTATCCCAGCGTGCAGGGTCTTGTCCTGCTGTGGAAGGCAGGGTGGGAATGACACTGGGCCCCAATCCTGGCATGTGGGCAGGCAGAAGGGAATGGTGCCAGGCCCTGGGACCGAGTCCCAGCATGCATGGGGCATGAGAGGGCAGTGTAGGGGGGAGGGGGGATGGTGCTAGGCCCCTGGGTCTCGATCCCTGTGTGCAGGGCGGGGGAGGGGCGGTGTGGGCCCCAGGGCTCATTTTGGCTTGCAGACTGACTCCACTTCATTCATTTGACCCACAGGGCCACTGACCTGCAGCACCACTGCCCTATATCATGTTTCAGTGGGGTCTCTGTGGTGTATACACTGCTTTGTGACCCACTACATTAGGATGCCCTGCACAATACATGGTTTAATCCCTTGCATGTGCCCTGGGTATGCAAAAACAACCTCAGGTTGGCACATAGTGTGACTTGATATGACGGACAAAATCGAGACGTATGCAGAAAAACAATGAACAGGTATTTCTCAAATTCAGTGCATTTATCACTTCTATTTGAATCGGCTGCTTTGATAGTAAACACAGGATCGGTATTGTAAGAGGAAAGTGATGTGTTTCCCTCCCAGTGCTCAGTTCTGGTCCTTAAGGGAAGCAGCAGTCCAGGAAAGCTTGTCCTTGGCATCTTTTCGATATAGTGCTATGACAGTGTGCTGTCAGTATATATGTTACAGTACCTAGTACTCTGTCATTGTAATCCTGCAGATATTTACAGTACAGTATGGCTAATATTGTGCACATGTAATCCTTTTAAATTTGTGAGGTTGTTAATGGGCTTAAAATTAA